ACCATGTCGAACGTGTAGGTCTTCCGTGACGCCTTGTCGTTCATGCCTCCCGTCCTCACCATCACCTCTTTCCGGTTTTGATCGCAGTCGACGACACCGTAGGACGACTTGCGCTCCATCGTGTTGAAAGGCCTGAAAGCGCAGCAGAGGAAAACCTCGGTGACAAAGACACACACTTCTGCAGCTCTGCAGTCATAATAATGAAGCTTCAACATCAGCTCAGGTCACACGGTCCCGTTTTTAAACACTCACAGCGCGCCGACACCAAAGCTTTGACTTTCACGGTTTGAGTTTTCTGCTTCTTTCTGTCAGAGCAACGCTCATTTATGTTTTTGAAAAAGGTCCCATAATAAAGATTTACTGCTTATTATAATTAAAACGCACAGGTTTGTACTCTGAGCTACATATGAAGACTTCTAAAAACACATTAATGCTCGTTTAGGTTCAGATGACTAAAGTTCAGTAGAGCACAGACGTAAGTATACACAGATCAGTGACGCTCATCCTCTGAGGCCTCAGAAAACCAGAGTACAGAAAGGAAATCCATAACATTGGGAGCTTATCATGAACAATAAACCAGACGGTGGACAGAAGAAGGAACAGATGAATTAACCGATTTAGCACAAATATGGGATTTAAATTAGATCAGTGTCAACAGGCCTCAAAATATCATCTTAGACTCAAAATCAATAGTTTTTCCAACCCATAAACACTGACGCACTGAGTGGGTGAAAGATGGTAAATTCAATATTTCTGACCTAAAGTTTTAGTGCAGAGTTCCTGTGCGTGTTCTGAGCCTCCGCCACGGACTCGCCTGCACGGGTACAGGAAGATCAAACCGCGATATGACGTTGCGGACGCTTATCTCACTCAGTGTCGGTTTCAGAGCTGGGACACCGCCAACCAAAAATCCAGAGATAATCAGTTCGTGTTCACACGTGACAGAAAAGCAGAAACTAAAAACATTGACGCTTCTTCAAAGCGCCTCTATCTGAGCCATCAGTTTATCTTCTCGAGCCATTTCAAGCCAACTTTCTTCTGACTGGCTGCCCCTTGACTTGGTGGGCGGGGCTTCTGTACTCTGTGACATCATAGAGAGCTAACGGTACAAAAAACTATGTGAAACTGAGTGTTTAGTGCCCACAGAGGGGCTGATGGATTACTAATTTTCTTTTCACACTAATAATTGTTAAATGGAA